GTTGATGTGGGTCGGTTGAAATGTTCGAGAGTATTATTCAACCAAAAGGTTAACGGCGTGACCGTCGTTATTGGTCGGGCCATTAGTACCTAGTAGTTGGGAAACTCTAGTTTTGGCTTAACGAAGAGAGGCTGCACAACGGAATAAGCTCTTCGGATTGGAGAAAAATTTATCCATAAGCTTTATCTGGTACTGAAGCCTGTCTTCTTTCATAGCTTTCATGCATATGTTCCTTATATGTTTGTATTGCCTGTGTGCGCCGTTGTTGTCAGTTCGTTTGTAATCTACCCAACAATGTCTTTTGCGGCTTAGCAGGCAGAGTGCGATTCCTGATGATTGTGGATTGCTGATATCTGTGGGGGACTGTTTGAGAAACTTACTGCTTTTTAACACATAAGAGCGTGTGCAGTAAGAAGTTCTAATGAGCATCCACATCAAGTTGTGGGTGAACATCCCAATCCACCTGTTGTACATAGTCCTGTAGAGCTTACATACTCAACCGTTTGAAATTCCAGCGCCCGCTGTTGGTGGGATATATTAGCTCAGTTTCGCTGACAAAACTGAAGGCTATAACGGTGGTATCGCTTCTCCCCTGAAGTGCCAGGACTGAGAGGTTGTCAACTAAAAATGCTTCGTTTTTAAATACCTAGTCAAAGCGTGACGGTACCTGACTGTTTCTTCAACGAGTTGCCGACTTCTCATTTTCGTATAATCCCAAATTTTCAATGAGGTCGAAGAACCGAGCTTCAGTTGAGTTTTCACCCCAATATACGTATGTTCCACGAAATTGATTCTAGGGAGATTGAAGTCCCCTATAATCAGGTTATGAGTGGAACCGAGACGCGTAGAACGGCGTAATCCTTCCAGCATACGACTGTCATACTCACTGACCACATTGGGTTCCTATATATCAGAAAAAAAGAAATTCGTAACTCATAATAAGATGTTACCCGTAGTCCTTGAGAATAGGTCAAGCTTCTTCTTGATGGATTCCTGAGACGTCGCTTGGATTAGTTCAGTCGGCAGCGAATTCCAACATTAGAAGTCAGATAACAAATTCCAACCCTCCCAATCTCTAATACACTAAGAATTCGATTTCGCTCGAAATAATTATAACTGAAATGAGTAAATTGGTGGCCTTTAATCTTCTAAATCTGAACTCATCTATTGTTTCCAGTGAAGAACCTGCTGACATGAACTTAATAGACGAAAGAAGGGTTACAAAATAAATTGTTAAAACGTTAAGTATTGTTGACATGTGTATACGTTACACTAGGAACATACTTTAAGTAAAGCGCTACTACTACCTAGAGGCGGCTGTCATGCCCTCTTATTTTACAGACTCAGTTGAACCTTATTAAATTGAATGTTCATTCGTTAGGGTCCCATTACATTAGAAATGTCAATTAGAGCGTGGAAGAACCAAGAACAGCAGCTTCACCGGCCGCTGGAACATTAAAACTGAAAAGAGATGTAACTGAGTTGATTATTAGTGAATTACAAATAAATTTTAGTGCCAGAATTGAAATTACATTTCCTTGATATTCTAGTCTTACTCTTTAGGTGCACTAATCGACGGTGGTTCGAAAGCGGTGCATCGCAGGATTTTGAATTGACACACACTTTGACACACTGTTTAAGTATATCTGCTTATTACTTCAATAGTTACCTATGTTTTGTCTGGCTTTGAGGTCATTTTGTAAGAAGGAATTTCAGACGGTAACTTTCCGAATGCTGGGTATCCACGACATTTTCATTGGCGATTTGAACGTGATTTCGGTGCAAATGGTAGGCTGGATGCCTAAAACTAGGGGTGTGCCCATTATAACTAGTGCGACCATCGTAGCCATCGAAGACTTGCAACTAAATTTATTGTAAGGATTTGTTAACACCGACTATATCACAAAAGCTGTCTCAGTATCACACACCGTCTTACTGTATGCTTCTTCCCATCAGCATTCTGGAACTAACGGTGCATTTTGTTTCTAAGTGTTTCTTCCTGGGTTATCAGATAAGTCGACTCGAACTACTAAAAACTGTTTTCAGTGTTTAATGAAGACCTCCTACATTATTACACCTAACCACATAAGAGATACAGCTCCTAACTTACTCACCTCACTAAGAGGCTCTTATCTCTGAAAAAGACAGTACAGAAGCATTTGAAAGGACATGAATGATTATAGGAAATATTTGAATGTGGCATACGAGCTGGGAAATCCTGGAAGCATTCACTTCGTACTTCAAGAGTCACAAATGGACCGATATTTAAGCTAGAGATAAATCAGTGCTAACAATTTGAGTTATTGTATTTTAGAATTTTGAACAAGACACGGAAACAGTTACAAGGGAATTATTAATTGGCACAAATGATACAATACGACAATTAGGTGTCGTTGCAGATAGAACCTCTTAGAAGAATTGAAAAGCGGTTAATCTTATTCAATCGTTCAACAAGAGGCTGTCAGTTTACTTCAGGAACTAGTAGTTGTATAATTCAACCAAACAAAGTTTAAAAGATAAAGGCATCAAGGTCAGCACGTCTCAAGGCCGGGTAGCTGTAAGTTATTTAAAATCTTGTTCATAAGTGTCTGCTGGTCTGTAGTGGCTTTTCAGTTCGTGTTTTTGTTGAGATCTTGTTTCTGCGAATAACCCTTTACCAGTGAACATGGTACCCAATAATAGGTTACACGGTTCAGTCTTCAACCATTCTCACCCAATATTGGGAGATATCTCCCTATTTTAGGGAAGATGTCCTGTTTGAGTAAATTGTGAGGAGACTGCTACAGAAAACTTTGGGCGACTAACACGAAACCTCAAAATTTCCCTAGAATCTTATGACACTTCAGGGTTTTTTCCTAAAATTCCCCCAATCTTCGGCATATAAAGACCGAATTAGTGAAATATTTTAAGCCTACAATATTACCTAACTAATTGTCGTTTTTGGATAGCTTGCAAGTCACATACGCTGGTAATGTTGATGAATTTGTATCTTCAAGTAACATCTGGCTTGATGTATCGCATACATGACTTCATAGGTTTATGAACTGGATATGGCTTCATGAAAGATGCTTTTATGACGTCAGAAACATATGATTCGGACCATTCAGATTTCCAGATAGTTTGAAAATGTTCATATGAGAATCTTTTTTAGTCGCTAGAATGAGACACAATACAACCATGTACTGTTATTTTTCGTGTGGACTAATTAATCATACACATGCCTGAGATTCGCACAGAATGGTGTTTTTAAGCCTTCAAATGATGCAAGTTCAAGGATCCAAATATTTCATCTGTGTTCAGCTTCATTTTGGGAAGGACGGGAGGCCAGAACACCCGTTACTTCTAAAAATAGGGTCCCTCGGCTCAACCAACGTTCTATTAAAACATCGACAAATGGAGCTTAAGTCGACTGTCGAGTTAAGAAATTTCAGTCTTATTGATTCGTTGGGGAATTCAGTCGTTCATAGATATGTAGTTTGTTATGGTCTTGTGAACCTGTGGGGATCTCGTCACAAATCTTCTGCTTCGAGAGCCAATCAAAATGAGACCCTATGAGATGCGAAATTATTATTAGACAGTTTGAGAATTGTAGCCAAGTCACATCTAGCCTTCCTATATGACAAGCGGAATAGGTTTAGTTTAGCTACTTTCTCGCCATAAGGTAGCTCTGCAATTCCGAGAATCAAATTGTTTGTAGTTCTTTGAGTGTTTTTCAACTACCTATTGTCTTTTTCAGGCTTGAGCTGACTGCTCGCATGCAATAGTTGAATTTAGAACGAACGAATACTATGTATGAATTCGAAGGTTCTATCATATACATGGCCAAAGGCTCTACTTATCGACTAGAGGATTCTGAAATTTTTGGCAGTTTTCGCGACTTGACTGATAATGACTCTTAAATCAGTGTGTGTTTGAACAACAGATTGATATCATTCACCGTTTATGTGTCCTTACCTTGGTGACCAATATACAACGTAGTACATTTTGAAGCACTTATTGGTAGCGGTCAAATTTTAGACCATTCAGATACTTTCTGCAGGTCATTTTGAAGCTCCGAAGTACCACCTATACTTTCCATCTTTCTCCATACCTTGATATCGTCGGCATATAAGGAAACCGACGATGATAGGCGATAAAGTAGGTTGTTTGCATATAAGAGGAATAACACTGGCCCCAAAGCTGTACTTTAGGGCATTCCACTAAACACAATTTTGCAGCTAGACAGCTTAGAGTCAACCTATACACTTTAGTTGACGCCTAACCAGAAAATCGTTTATCCACATAAGCGGTTTACCTTAAGTCTCGATATCACGACTTAGACAACAGCATGTTATCTGAAACTTTGTCAAGGGCCTCACTGAAGTCGATGAAAGCCACATCCATGGTTAACTTTTTATCTGTAAGAGAACATCAGCTTTCTCGAGCTACTAATAATTTCATGAAGCGTAAATAACTTGTTTTAAAAGCACACTGCTTTCAGAAATGATCAGTTTTCGTCTGGATACTTGTTTAAGTTTTTCCGAATGACCTTTTCATAAACCTTAACACCCACGCTGGTTAGGCTTACGGGCTGATTGTTCTCAGGTGTTTTTTGAAGACAGGACTTATTATGGTGTTATTCCGGTCCTTTGATGATATACCCTGGGCTACAGATAGATGGAAACACATGCTTAAGTGATTAACGCCATTATCACTTATGTAGCTTCTTATTTTTCTTCGACATATGTGCTGCCAAGTTTAACAGTAATGATAAATTCTTAACCGCTTGGAATTAGTTTCTGTATTACATTGCATGCTACAATGGCTTTTTTAGATCAATTTCATTTTCTTGTGATACAATAAATTGCTTCTTATCTTTCATGCTCTATGTTCTGCTACATGGTGTTTTTGTTGGTACAAAACTGACCTAATTTTCCCAAACTCAACATTATGAAATATTCTTAATTAATTTTTAAATAATATTAGGTACATGTAAGTCGGCGTTTCCAACTATTTTGAAGATGACTATTTCGAAAAACATGCTCGTTATTTTTGTTTTCCTCTTCCTCGACGTCGTAACTGTGAGTATGATTCTACCATGGATGCCTTCTCTTTTAGAAACATACGAGTCTGAAAAAGTAAGTTGCATTATTTGTATATTACAAAAGGAATGGTTTTATACTTTGTCCAAAAAATATATCCAATACCTGGGTTTTGTTTTGGGATTTCAAGAAGGTTCTACATGGGACAGAGTATTCATTGGAGGTATGCTTCTCAGTTTAGCAGCAATATTTTCATTTTAGGCCTTCTGTCGTCATTATCATCTTTGGTGCAATTTGTATCGTCGCCTGTAGCCGGAGCTTTATCAGACTATTTTGGCAGAAAATCGGTCTTAGTTGTCCTTCAGGTTTGTGGTGATATATATACATATATATGACTTGGCTGTTTTCATCTATAATTTTCCTGAGTAGCATAAAGACATCGTTTTAGAAAACGTCAGTAACAGTTGTGCAACTTGCGTATAATGTGGAAAAGTAACACAGTTTATGATGCATCAGCATATCTTTTTAAACCAACTTTAGCAGAATATAGTTGGCGTGCAATTGGAAATAACTACTATTGTAGAGTAGGTAGAGAAATCCGTAGATGTTTTAGTTGATAAGGATGATTTTATAATTTAAGGGAAAACTAAATCAATACAGTTAAGATTCCAATCGTAGAAAAGTGGTAACAATTTCTGATTAATTGTGCTTTAACACTGCTATTAAGTTGTGAATGTGAAGTAAATTACATTGACTTACTGGCTTTTCTTAACGCAAACTCTTCAAGGCTATTCTTCTTTTAATTATGGCTGAAGTGCAAAAGATTCAATAGTGAAATGACAAATGGATTAAAATATTTCTCTTTCTTCAGTATACTACGGTAACACGGTAATAAAACTGATCTGAGTTACCGAGTTCACAATACCACTAGATTGAATAATCGAACGACCCGCTTGATCACGTTACACCAGCTACCCGACTCACGACCAAGAGCAAAGAGCCAGATTAACACTAGACAATACTTTATTCTACAAAATTAAATGCTGTTACTCTCGGTTAGTCCGGATTATAAATTAATAAGAGGGAAGAAAATCAACTATTTAATAATCATTAGGCTGCACGCCTGTCTGTCCACACTCAGCGGCCAATCACACTTACTTTCCTTACATGCTTACTTCCTTACGCCTGTTATCCTTCGTAGAGGAAAATTGGCTGCCACCAGCATTTTCCATGCAACTCTTTCTTGTGCAATTCTTTTAATATCTGCTTCCAATTACCGACACAATCTGTTCCTTGGTCTTCTTTTATTCTTGTTCCTTTCAGGATCCCAAGTTGGCACTCGCTTCGTGATGCGGTCAGTCAGTCAGTAACAACGTAGAACTTCGTTCGTACGGACGTCAGTTCGAGTTGCCACACATTAGCACAGAGATGCAGCGGTCGATTCAAATCCCGTAGTGGTAGAGGCGGTAAGAGTATAAGCAGTAATCGGGAAAATTAGTGTTTGGAGATGTTATTTAAAGAGTATAATACAGTGAAATAAATTTGGGAAGAGAAAAAAAAGACAAGGAGGAATAAGGAGATCAAAATTTGGGAGAACACAAAGAGTGTATGCACCTGCGCCATTGCAAACGATTTTGAGCCATGTCGTTCAGGGTCTCTAACCATCGGTTGCTATCATCTCGCGGTCCCCAACCAGGTAGTCTACACCTACCAACATGACTCAGTACACTTGTCATTGACTTCATGGACTTGTGCCATGTTTTGATCTGGCCGTCCCTAGATTTCTTCTAACCTACTCCTATACCACTGAGCATCGCACGTCGAGGCAGTCGGTGGTTGGGCATACGTAACGTGTCCCAGCCATTTCAACTGATGAAGTTTCACTACTTCATCAATTGATTTGACATCCTTACCTAGTACCCGTTTCCTAACGACTGCATTACTTACTTGTTGGTCCCAGGTTATACAAACGATACTTCTGAGACACATATGATCGAATACTAACAACCTACGAATATCCTCTACTCTTACCGGCCATGTTTCACTGCCATAAAGTAGAACGGAACGAACTGCTGCGCAGTAAACCCGTCCTTTGGTTGATAGACGGATATCTTGCCTACGCCATAAATGACGCAAGTTGGCAAAAGCTAGTCGAGCCTTCTGTATCCGTGCTGAGACTTCGTCACACACCAGACCACAAGGGCTGATGAGACTTCCAAGATAAGTGAAGCGGTCGACACACTCAACTACTTCACTCCCTATCATTAGTTCGGGTGTCGATGCAACCTAATCCTGAAGCAACATTTTGCATTTCGAAGGGCAGAATCACATCCCGAACATGCTTGCCTTGTTGCTTAGAGTGGTCAGAAGACTCTGCATTTTGTCAGCATTTTCACCAAATAGAACTATGTCATCGGCATATTCTAAGTCAACAAGTGAACCTCCCGGTAGAAGTTCAACCCCTGGAAATCTAGACGAGGAAAGTGTTATCTATAAAAGTACATCGACGACAAAGTTGAACAAGAATGGAGAGAGTGGACAGCCCTGACGAACACCACTTGAGGTAATCAATTCTGATGACAGTTCGCCATAAGCTCTCACTCGACCAGTTGTGTTCGAGTAGAGAGCCTTTATAAGGTTAATGTACTTCTTTAGTACTCCTTTCAGTGACAAACACTGCCATAGAACCTTACGATCGACAGAGTCGAATGCTGCTTTAAGGTCGAGAAATACTACGATTGTGGGGCGTCTGAACGTGTGTCTGTGTTCTAGAATCTGACGTAGTGTGAATATGTGGTCTATACAACCACGTCCAGGTCGAAAACCGGCCTGGTTTTCTCTAGTCTGCTCTTCAGGAGCTTTAGTTAGGCGTCGAAGTATTATTGAAGCTAATGTTTTCGACACTGTTTGTCAAACTGATTCCTCTGTGATTGTCACAAGAGGACTTTTGTCCTTTCTTATAGACTGGCACAATCAGTGATTGAGACCAGTCAGATGGGATTACGTCCAGTTCCCAAATTCTACCTAAGACCTCAGTTGATCTCACTGCTAATACTGGACCACCATCCTTAGAAATCTCAGGAGTAAACTTGTCAGGGCCTGCTGCTCTCCCTCGCTTCCGATTTCCTATGGCTTTTTCAACTTCGTAAAGAGACGGGGGACCTACATTAACTTGCCATTCAGGTTGACTGGAGATCGTGGGAAACCGAAGTGTAGCTGAAGGCCAGTTGAACTGACCCCTAAAGTGTTCTGCCCATCGATCCAATCTCTTGGATTGAGAATGTACAATATGTCTCTTTCTCTGGGAGTATTTCGCTAACAGTCGGTTTCCTAATACCGGTTTCCTTAACAAGTCTGAACAATTGTCTGCTATTACCTATTGCCGCTGCCTTTTCCATCTCTCTTGCTTTCGCTACCCACCACCGTTCACGATCATTGCGTAGACTTCTTGTCAGCTTGCGCTTAAGCTGACTCCGCTCTTCATTAAGTTCAGAGCCAGGTGGGATGAGCTCCCGAGCATCTATCAGTGAGATAGATGCTGCTGAGATACAGTGTTGCTCCCTAACCTTACGGGTTACCGTACTAGCAGATACCAATGCTGTTTCCACAGATTTTCGGATATCATTGCATGCTGCCTCGGGGTGGTCATCACATACATGGCTGCCTAAGTGTTTTCCTAGTTGTTCCTAAAATATACTCTTAGCTTGACTATCATTAAGTAGGGCCCTAAGAGGTTTCCTTGCAGCGTCTTTCCTACGTCCAGTAAGACGCAGACAAATACGCGCTCGTACTAGAACATGATCTGAATATAAGCATGTGCTCCAGAATGAGCGACAGTCTTCTATCGAACCCCCCCATCGGTGGCTGATAGCGATGTGCTGTATTTGGGTCCAACGTTGGGACGAATTAGGGGTCGCCATGTTAAAAGATGTTTCTCCTTATGCTTGAAGTTAGTATTTGCGAGGAACAGGCGGTTATCTGAGCATAGGTGGACTAGACGGTCGCCATTATCTGTTCTTTGAGCCTCGATGCTATAAGACCCACCCGGGTGTCTTTCCCTATCGCTTAGTTTACCTACTTGAGCATTAAAGTCACCGGCCACTATTACTACATCCGAGCGCTTAGCTTTTCGGAGAAGGTCCGAAAGCTTTCTGTAAAACTCATCTTTTACATCATCTGAGCTGCAGTCAGTGGGAGAATAGGCTGAGACGACGAAGAGGCAACGACGAGTGTCCCTATCTTTTCGGATCCTTACTGTTCCGTTTAGTCGGATAACGCACAAACGACTGTCTACTGGGATCCACTCTAAGAGAGCTAGTTCTGCCCTAGGACTCAATCCTACACCTATAGCGGCGAGGCCACGAGAAGCAGCATCTGGGCTTCCAGATACACGAAGTGAGAATCGAGTTGGTTCTTTATGTTGACATGGTGATGTCAAATGAATGACGCTACTTGGATCCTGTATGCGTGTTTCGGAGACGCAGCACACATCGATGGCGCGGTACTCTAAAGTCCTAGCTAAGGAAGCCTGCTGTCCTATTTGGCAGAGTGTTCGTACGTTAAAAGCTCCTACGTGTAGTTTAGAGCGTGGTTTCAGGAGACCAGGAATAGCGTTCCACGTACTCGAATCGTTTGCTCTGGCGGTGCGAGGTGATAAAGAGACGTGAGGAGGGTTAGTCATGGAGATAAAAGAGGTATTAGGAGGTGTAGGAAGGATTTGAATGTGACCAACTTGGTCTCGTGTGCTGTTACGGGTATGAGGGCTGGTGTCACTTCCCGGCTGCCCACACCGTGGAAGGGTATTTCTTGAGGAACCTGAAAAGGAAATTGGATTAGTGTTGGTCTTGACGACTTGGGAGCGTGACCGCAGAGCCCAAGGGACAACTGCTTGAGGCCGGTCGCGCACGGCCTTTTTGTGGAAGGTTTTTGACCTGTTAGCTCCGTTCTTCAAAGGGCCTTACCGCCGGAGACGGAAATCCGTGAGGTAAGGTGAGGTGTGACATTTTTAGGGTCGACCTTTTCTAACCCCACCCCTCCTTGTGGGAAGGCAGCATCGCTGTCATGCTGGTTGTCTGAGGGAAACACCTTACTGTTGTCACACCTCTCTACAGTCAGCAGTACAACTTCGCCCTCAGACCTTGAGTGATGCAGTTTGGTCTTCACAGTGTATGTTCTATCCACTTGAGGCTTACTTACCTACGCCTGTTACTCCCAATGGAGCATAGGCCACCGACTAGCATTCTCCAACTCACTCTGACCTGGGCCTTCCATTCTAGTTCTACCCAATTGTTGTTCATTCTTCTCATGTCTGTCTCCATTTCTCGGCGTAATGTGTACTTTGGTCTTACCCTCCTCATTTGGCTTTGAGGATTTCAAGGTAGGGCTTGTCTTGTGACGCAGTTCAGTGCTTTCCTCAATATGTGTCCTATCCACTTCCAGTGCTTCTCCCTGATTTATTCCTCCGATTTGTGTATGAATTTATGGGGGAGTATTGCACCACCTATAATCATTTTGTTGAGGGCATATAGATTTGCAAATCTCTCACCATTTTCGTTCCTTTCTCTTAATCCATGTCGTCCCATGATATCTTCATAACCGTTGTTGTTCATTCCAACTTTGGTGTTTAGATCTTCCATCACGATTTTCAGGTCCTTTATTGACAGCTTCTCTATGATCGATTGTAGCCTTTCATAAAGCTGGTCTTTATTGTCGTCGTTGCTACCATCGGTGGGTGCATAACACTGGATAGCATTCATTGTGATTCCCTTCTATTTTGCTTTGAAGGATGTTTCGCTGATCCTGGATCCGTGAAATTCCCATCCTATAAGTTCACTTCGTGCTTTTCGAACAGCTTCAGAATGACTCCCTGTCAGTTCGGAGCATTCTATTTTTCGTGACCAGGGTACAGCAGCATCTCTGCTGAGTCCATTCTTTTCTGTCCAGCTTGGGTCCAATGGGTTTCGCTGAGTCCGAGTACTGCCAAATTGTATCTACTCATTTCCGTAGCTGTTTGACTGGTCCTCCCGGTTTCCCACATTGTCCGGACATTCTATGTACCCATATTGATTTTTGTTCTGGTTGTTGGAAGGTGCATCGGCCTCGTGACTACCGAAGAATCTGGGCTTTCATCATGAGGCATCATAATTCTTCTGCACGACGATCCTTCAACCCGGAGGGCACACTTTAAATGGTTTAATTAGTTTAACCTAGTTAGCGTTTTTATAGCAATGTTGTTATCTACAGGATGGGGTTGCCGATCTCATGCCCGACCCTCTTTTGTCTGTGCATGGGACTGACAGTAACTCCAGAAGAGCTACAGGCGGAATAGTATTTACTCACTACTAGATAACATGTTGTGTTGAAGTACGATGTAATTAGTTTTACATAATGATTATTTATTTGCTACATTTTTTCCATTCAACAGGTATCGCTTATAATTGTTAATGTTCTCTGGTTAGCGTTGGGTAAGTCATTTCTGTGGCTACTGATGTATCGTGTATTATGTGGTGCTGCACGAGCAAATGTCGGTGTTGTATCAGCACTTGTTGGCGATATCAGCAGTGATACGTTGCGTACTAAAGGAATGGCGGTTGTTGGCCTGGCTTATGGTATCGGATTCACTGTAGGACCACCATGCTCAGTTATCTTACTTAGCCAGTGGAAAGTAGATACATCAACTGAATACTTGAGCTATGTGCTGGGTTCTACGTGTTTGCTTCTTAATTGTATAAATCTCTTAATCTTGATTTTTGCTCTGCCGAGTACATTACAAAAGGTATGTTTTCTCATGTTATATCACATTTCTGCAGATTATTCTTTAACTGACGCATTTGTAAACATCAAATTTTTTTATTTTGAGCTTAATGTCTTAATAATTTTGTCCTCCGTAATTCCAATCAGTCGGTTACGAAAGTTTCACTTTGCAACAGTAGATATGCTTTAGACAAATATCTTGAAACTGAGGGTTATACAGATTATGCATCCGAACCGAACACATCTCACACTTTTATGACTTTAGTCAGTCAGCTACAACGTAAGACCAGGTACATATATGCATCGCTCCAAGTTGCCATACCGCATTAGCACAGCAAGATGAACATTGGATTCATAGAAGTAGTTAAGTCAATGATGGTAATATATTAAACAAAGATTGCATATAAAGGTATATTAGAGGAACAAAGATTTAGTACGTAGAAAGAAAGATATGAAGCGATTTTAATCTCATAGTTTAAGGGAAGACAAAGAGTGTATACACCTATGCCATTGTGATCGATTCTAAGCCATGTCATTCAGCATCTCTAACCATTGGTTACGAGTCACGCGGACCCCAACCAAGTAGTCTGCATCTACCAACACAGCTCAGACCAGAAGTTAGTGACTTCAAGCACTGATGCCACGTTTTGGTTTGGCCGCCCCTTACTTTCTTCAAACCATCTCCAACACCGGTTAGCATTGCACGTCGTGGTAATCGGTGTTCAGGCATACACAACACGTGGCCCAACCATCTCAGTCGATGAAGATTCACAACCTCATTAATTGATTTACCATCATTCTCTAATACCCTGGGTCTAACCTCAATATTACTCACCCGGTGATCCCAGAAATATTTATAAGGCATCTGTGGTCAAATACTAGCAGCTTACGGATATCTTCAACTCTTAATGGGCACGTTTCGCAGCCGTAAAGTAAAACAGAACGAACTGCCGCGAGGTATACCCGTCCTTTCATTGATAGACTGACATCTCGCCTTTTCCATAGGTGACAGACACAGCCACAGAACTTCTCTGTCTACAGAGTCAAATGTTGCTTTTAAGTCAAGAAAGACCACCATTGTCGAACCCCGATAAGCATACCTGTGTTCTAAAACCTGACGAATAGTGAATATGTGGTCGATGTAGCCACGACCAGGTCTGAAGCCAAACTGATTTTCTCGTATTTGCAGTTCACGAGTCTTAGTTAGGCGTCCGATAATTATCGAGGCTATTGTTTTAGATGCTATATTGGTCAAACTAATCCCTTTATGGTTATCACAGGATGATTTTGACCTCTTACATATTGGGGAAATTAGTGATTATGACCAGTCAGTCACCTGCTACGAGTACTATGTCTGAACGTTTAGTTTTCTGAAGAAGTTCAGATAGCTTTCTGTAAAATTCATCCTTCACTTCATCCGAGCTGCAGTCAGTGGGAGCGTAGGCAGAAAAGCCAAAAAGGCAACGACTCGTCAAGTGGATAGGACAATACATAGTGGAAATCATCAAACTGCATCACAAGGCGAGCGATAATGTGGAACCCTGAAGGGAAACGGAAAAGAGGATGACCACGGAACACATTGTGTCAGCAATTGGGAGCGGATATGAAAAGGACTGCCCAAGACAGAGCTAGATGGAGAGTTCCGGTGGGCGGACTATGCTTCTCCATGAGGGGTAACAGGCGTAATTAGTGTCTTTGTGTTTTTTCGTAGTGATAGTAAACTGTATTAATATTAAAGTTAAAAAAAGAGTTCGACCGACTTTAGTAGAATTGAAGTTTATAAAAGGCCATGTGAACGGGTAAAAAATGTCTGTGTTTATTTCTATTTTTTCAGGGCGGAAATATCGGTCGATTAATCAACCAAGCCGTACGTTTGATAAATCCGGTGAAGTTGTTTTCACTAACTGGCACAACTAAATGTCCTAAATGTGAGTTTAGTTTGTTATTCAACTCTGTATTTTTTTCTGGGGATTATCCGTTTACTAATTGCCCTTATGCAATAGTCAGTTCGTAAAATTAAACACTAACCCGTATTTACCTAATGTCTTACGTAGATGAAAAATCTTTGCGTCATTTGGCATACTTTTGGTGCGGCTACTTGTGCGTATACTGCGGAATAGAATATACAATACTGTTTTTGGCTAGAATCCGCTTTAATTTCTCAAGGTCAGTTAGTTTCGTATAGGAATCCTCTCATTCTCATAAACATAACTGTTGGTATACGGTGGTCGTGTTTTTTGTTTATTTAGGATGACAAAAGTCACCAGTTTGTAGGTGAATAGTTAATCATTTGCATCTGAATCGAAAAATTACCATTTGCTTATATCTATTAATTTATTGTGTTGAGTTTATTCCATATATTTTAAATAATCTCCAATTACCAAAAGTTTTCACAGGTTTATATGTATATAATAGTATTTAGCATCATATTGAGAGCCCTGATGTTTGATACGCTTCTGAACATAAATCTACCGTTTAACTCTTGCTTCATACCTAGATGATTAAACGTAGGAAAAAAGCGAAGTTGATGGTTAGAATGAGATAAATGTTATTGCTAAGACTGCTTCGGTCTAGGCACCCGGGCAGTATCACAGCCCACACACACACACAAATATGGTGTGGCGCACATATATTTGGTGCCCTCTTGTACCAATATTTATTTGTTGAAATAAATAAATAAATAATAAGACTGGAGCAGCAAAATCATTATTGGTTGCAAAGTATTTTTTTATTGGTAATAAGCTATTTATTAGTGCATTTTAATTAGTTGAATGTGTTTTAACCCGTTGTATTGGGATTTGTTGCTTAAATGTGAAATCCTTGTTTATAAAATTAATTTCATTTTGAAATTTCTTATTTGCTAGTGCAGTATGTGTACATACCATTATAATTTTTCTGACGAGTTCTCTTATTGTATCTTATTACATTTTCGTTACTAGCTCTGATCAAGGCAGAATGTTCGGCTTTATTGGGATAATAATGATTCTAGTTCAATGTAAGTGCAAGAATATTCAAACTGAACTACTAATTAGCGAACTTATAAAATTTCCAATTTCCTGTTTATTTACTTCATGATAAAGCTCACATATCAACATGCCTTTTCAATTTCTAATGTCTTTAAGGGATTTGAATGAATCTATCTAGGAAATCAACAGAGCTGTGATCTGCTGATTTTCCTAACTGGTAGTTTTTGGAAGATATTTAAAGCAATTAGTCCTTTACATAAATTCCGATAGAACAATGAGAAGACGGAGTTGACCTGAAA